GCCATTCACCAAATTCAATTCTATAGTCTGCCTCTTCAACTGCTTCTTATTTCTACCTCATCTAGCCATCAGTCTCTACCTGATCTAGTCACGTGTCACTCCCCTTCTACCGGTAATTGTCACTAGTTCCATCTGGGCCTATATATTGCAATATTCCTTGTCTGGCAAAAGACACTTTCTGCTAAATTCCACAGATTCCTTAAACCCTTTTTGGCCTTTGTGACCTTGTCCATCTTGTCTCTCAGCTCTATTCTGTAAGTCTCATTCTTCTCTGCATTATCCTGGGTTTCTCCTTTGCCTCTCAGCTCCCACATGGAGCTTAAAGAAACTCCCTCCATCGGAGTTCAACCTGTGACCCTTCCTTTCTTAGAAGATATTAAAACTTCACTCTGTTATTACAAGCAGCTTGGACTCAGTATATTTCAAAGGCCTAAATTGTCATGCTCAATTTTCCTTTTTTTTCTTTCTTTATTTTACATACCAGCCACAATTTCCCCTCCCACCTTGGCTCCTATTCCCTCCCCCTACTTCCCTTGTATTCCCCTATTAACTCATCCTCTATCTCCATTCAGATTTTGAAAGGCCTCCTATGGGAGTTAACAATGCATGGCATATCAATTTGAGCAAGACTAACCTCCTCCACTTGCATCAAGGCTAGGTGAGGTATCCCACCATAAGGAATAGGTTCCAACAAGCCAGCTCAACATGCTCAATTTTAAGTGGTGACAACTTCTGCCACTGCACAAACAAATGATCTGAAAATCGTCTATAACTAAATTTACTTTTTCTTCCTAACTATACCTGTCCAGTGTAGTTCTTACTTACAGAGAAACTCCTACCTCTAACAGCCCATCCTAATAGACATAGAGAAATTGTTCTATATCAGGCTGCCAAAGGCCAGTTAATTTCTCCATAACTCCTTGTCCATCTCTTTTCCACTGCTTACCCCCATGACTGTTTTCTCTATTTTTGTATAATATCTGTCCTGAAAACAAAAATCATAAAAACAGGGTTTATGAAGAGACAAACAAACAGAAACAAAAAATACTTGTTTAATACAGTATTAAAACTGCACCTACATGTATTCGTACAATATACCTCATACTGTTAGTCAAACTCTGTAATATAAGAATCACATGGGTAGTATTCGTTTTAAAATGACATGAAGGTATCATGGAGAGAAACTAAATATCAGTGTGTCAGGACTGATATTCCTAATGAGAGCCTAAGAAAGGATACTGGTGAAAGCTTCAGTGAGTTCTGAGAGTCTAAGAAAGTATATAAATGTCTGAGGATACAAAAGCTTAAGAAATTTCTGAGGGTATGATTAAATATTTTAAGGCATGTAAATAAAATTTCTGAAAGTATATAAAAATGATTTATGATAATGAAAAATGTTTCAGATTTTTTCCATTTATGCTGTCTATTGTTCTTTTAATATTTCAAAGGATGAGGAAACCTATATTTAAGAGTTCTAACAGAGCACTAATGTGATGGGGTCTGAAGATTGCACACCCACAGGTTGCCAAAAGGAGATACTTCTCCCTATAACACGTAAATGTAGTTCTAAAAACTCCTGCCTTCTATGCTTGCTTTCTTTATATCAAACTAGAGATTACTATACACATTGGCCAGAGACTTATTGAGATTGCTCTTATTGGTCCTGTAGGAGACATGATGCTTATGCAGAATTTTTTTTGCAAAATGATCAATCTTATATATTCTAATTAATGGTCCATGGCATCCCAGCTGCCCATCAGGTATAATCAAAATACAATGGGTATACATCCTACTCTCTCAGACTCTTGGTATAGCATGGTAGGAGCTCCTCGATGGTCCTTGCATCCTTAATATCATCCCATTTAGATTATATTGAACTCACCTCCCTATAACACCATATCTTATTTGATACATTAACTTCCGTATAAATAATGTTCTGCTGCTTGTTTTGGGGAATACTTGTTGTGTGTCCCTCCTGGGTCACACTAAGTACCACCATTTGCACCTCCCCTATTGTCTTATTGGACTCTCCCTTCAGTTCTCATCAGCTGTTCTAAGACAAATATCACTACCATCCTTTATCTCTCTCACATCTCTCTTTTCGGTATCACAGACTACTTTAACTCCTCAGACACATTCTTTGTGGGAACACTGGATTACATAGATTTCAATGATACCTTAAGCCTTAGTACTACCACCCATTACCTATGCTCAAACATTCACAATGCCTTGATTCTTTGTGACATTCAAGTTTACTGATGTCTGCCTCCTGACTGGATTGGGACTTGTGCCTTGGTGTTCCTTTTTCCAAAACAAGGAAGTGGTATATGCTAAAGAACCCTGGATGATTCCCATCACTGGGTTTATAGTACCATGGTCTGACAGAGGAGTGGTACAGGTCATATCCTCTCGAGTAGTGCTGGGTATAACCACTGGCATTGCAACTGGAGGAGTGAGTGAAACTTACTACTTCTCTAGATATTTACCATTGGTTTTCCTATTAGTTCATCAAGGATCTCCAATGGGTGGGTCAGACCATCCTTATTTTACAGGGCCAAATAGAATCAATGTCCTCCATAAGTACTATAAACCTGGTGTGGATTTGATTCACTAACAGCAGAATAAGGTGGTTTTTTTTTTTTCTCTTCCTTGGGGAGGAATGTTGAATCTATGTCAACTAGTCAGGTATAGTCAAAGAAAAGATAAGACAGTTCCAGATGGATCTCCAAAAGCATAAGAAACAGCTCAATGCCTTTGGATAGCTCTCAATTTTGAAATGAATACTGCCATTTTAAACCCTCTTTCCTCTCCTTTTCTTAACCCTGTGTTATAAATTTCTTGTCTGTCTTCAACAACAGATTCAAAAGATTTCTAACCATCCTGTCATTCAGTTGATATTACAAAGTTATCAGTCTCTAGCTAGAGAGTCAGAGGTCGGAGACTCCTGATTATACACAGATGGTGAGGATCAAAGGACTTCACTGCCCCGTTAAGCAGGAAGTAGTCTAATGATAACATTGCCCCCTTTCTTGTTACCTGATTGCATATTAATAAAAAGGGAGGAATGTAAGGCCCTCAAGTCACATGAGTGGCCAGACCTCTCCCCTGAGGACTTCCAACTTCCAGATTCCACTCAGAGAACACTCGAACTGCCCTAATGGCTGGACCCTGACCTACCTTACAGAGAAAAAATTGCAATCTCTGGAAATGAAATCCCATCAATCTCCACTCTGAAAGGGTTCACTTGAAATTTCCATTCCCTCCACAAGAAATCTACATAATATCTGCCTTTTGCTCATCACTCTGACACTTTTCATCCACGGAGAGGCAACCACCCTCCTGTTTTTTTCCCTACCTTTTTGGTGAGGTGACTTGTGTGGTAAGACTTTGTGGTATTCCTTGGCTCCAAACTGTAGGATACCTTTCTATCCAGACTGTAATGCTTACACTAACAATCGTGTGAGGATGAGGCACAAAATCTAGTGAAACTGGTGAAGGGGGACCTGTATCTTATCATTGAGAACACTGATTTCCTTCTTGTTCATGTTGTTGTTGCTAGTGCAGCTCTTTCTTCTTCTTCTTCTTCTTCTTCTTCTTCTTCTTCTTCTTCTTCTTCTTCTTCTTCTTCTTCTTCTTTCTTCTTCTTCTTTCTTCTTCTTCTTTCTTCTTCTTCTTTCTTATTCTTCTTCTTATTCTTCCTCTTCCTCCTCCTCCTCCTTCTTCTATGTCTCCTCCTCTTCTGCCTCCACTAAAACTGATTTAAAATGATCCACTTACCTTAATATTCTTCAATATGATTCTAGCGGAGATGTTATTAAACAATATCTTAAGTACCACAGATTTATCAGTCTCTATTTTGCCCCTCTTCCCCCCAAAAAGCAGCTTCACAACAGGGTTTCAACGTCCTCCACAATAAATTTCACAATGCTCTCTTCCCCCAGTATAGGTTCCTATGATGTCATAGTGACACCATTTTAAAATCATATCCTACCATCTCCATGGTAGCTTGGAAGTCTCTCTCACTACACAGGGGTTAACTGGCTATAAAAATCCAGGAGGAATCGCAAATATAGTGTGATACACTTGGAAGCTAGAAGCACCATGTTCTCAACACACTCAAAATTAGCTGGAAGTCCAAACAACAGGGTAATTAAAACACAGGGAGAGCCCTGTGCTCAACATCTTGTATCCCATTGGACACTCCTTGACCTCTTCATACATTCTGTAGAATTATTGTGGGAAGATGGCAGTGTGTTCATCTGGATGGATGCAAGCAGACAGATCTGTGCTGGGGCTGCTTCTCGGACAGATCTCCATCGTGAGATCAACCTCATTAACCACTGAGCTTTCATACCTGGAGTCAGTACAGTGAAGATCCCAGCCTCAGAGACCAGGAGAGCAACAGCGCGATAGATGTCAGGAATTTGGTTATGTGGCATCACCTCCCATGCTGGGTGCCTTGCTCCCCCCCAAACTCTCTCGATGATCTCTCTGGCCACTGAAGTCTGTTTTCACTTTGAGAATTGTCACACTATAGGGGGCTCATGAGGCTCCACCCCCAATCTCTTCCCAAGGCTCATCCATGGATATTGTTGGGCTTCAGTTGACAACTGACTGCCTTTCCAGGTCCCTAAGACAGTCCTTGTCAAGCTCTGCCCCGAAGACAGTACATGGAGCTGAAAAGGCAGCCAGCCAGCCATCTTGTGCGGCTTAGATGAGGCTCTGAGGGCCCGTGGCTATCATGGAAAATTACCCTCTGCAGAAGGATAAGTGGACAGGGGAAGGACTCTGCAGCGTGGCACCTGGCGTTGTCCTTAACATCTTTCTCAGAGGAAGTCCTCCAGGAACTTGGCAGTGTCATCAGTCTGGAGTCCAAGCTGATAGAGGCCATCTGGGAAAGAAGGCTAGAGCCTGTTCAACGCCCATTACCTGACTCCGGGGCGGGCGTGTTTGCGCCTGCGTACCTCCCCACGTACCTACAGCATATGCTCACCCCTCAGAGGGTTACATCTTTGCGAAATCCTCCACGGATGCTCTCGGTCCCTGTCCTGTTCAACATATCCCGGCCCTGCAGGGGCCTCTGAGCTGCCAGGTAGCTGTGACAGTGGCTCGGCCTGGTGGTTACTGGGTGACCGCGTGCTCCTTGGAACCTGGCGGTGGTCCCCAGTTTTGTATCACAGAACTCTGGTCTCTTGGGTCACAAAGGCTTAGAGGTGGGGGAGGGGTGGCAGACAGCAGACGTCAAACCCCAGCCCCTCCCACAGCCTCCAGCCCCGCAAATTTCAATCTCCAACTCCCCAAATTCTCTGGATCCCACTCAAAACGTTATGAGGTGGCTTTTTGCAATGTTTCCATCGCCTCAACCTATCAGGAAGACCTTCACCCACAAGGTGCCCTGGAACCCAGACGTTTGCTGCTTCCTGAACTGAGCCAGGGACAGTCAAACCGTCAGGCTTTTCGCACAGGTTTTGTGGTTTTCCGGGAACTGCCTTTTTCAGGACTCCTCTGTGACAGCTCCCGCTTCCCTCCATGGTAAGTTCCTGATGTGCATCAACTCACACAGAAAACCTAAGTTTCTCTTATACCTGTTTAGATATATAGATTTTAGATAACTTTTTGAAAAATGTTTATTCCATTATATTCGATATAGGGTGTTAAACAAATGTTAAATTTATTATTAATGTATCAAATGTAGGGGACTGGAGAGATGGCTCAGGGGTAAAGAGCATATGCTATTTTTCCAGAGGACTTTGGTTTCATGCCCAGCACCCACACAATAGCTCAGAACGATCCTAAACTCCAGTTCCAAGGACTTCAGCTCCCTTTCGGGACCTCTGTGGGCACCAGCCACATGTACAATGCACATGCATACATGCAGGCAAACATTCATACATGTAAAACAAAAATAATAACATTTAAAAAAAATAAACTTAGTATGTGCTTGGACAGTTGGTTGACCAATCACATCAAATAGAGTCATTATATAAAGGTGTTAGTCCTCGACTGCTGTAATTTTACAGCAGATGTTTACCTGAGCTCTGTGTGCCTGAGGAACAGGGGTAACTAATGAAATGTATCACACACACACACACACACACACACACACACACACACACACACCACTCCTTTGTGTTTAAAAGAGCACAGTGTTGACAAAAAATGAAAAGACTCACTCTCATGGCTCAACATAACACTCTGAACCTACTCAAAAACACTATGAGGTGCTTTGTGGAATGTTTTTCAGAACTGCTTTGATTTTTGTTGTTCTTATTTTTTTAGGGATTTAATTATTTTTGTTTTATGTGTGTGACTATTTTGCTTGCATGTATGTCTGTGTATCATATTATGCAGTGCTCACAGAGGTATGAGAGGATGCCAGATCCCCTGAAACTGGAGTTACAGAGAGTTGTGAGTCACCATGTGAGTGGTGGGAACAGAACATAACTTCCCCCAGAAGAGCAGTCGCTGCTCTTAACCATTGAACCATCCCTCCAGCCCCATTTTAATGGGTTTTTCTTAATGCAAATTATCAAACCCACATCCCCATCTTTCATTCTGTACCTCCCCAATCTTCCCCATACTGATGTTTCCTAATTTCATGCCCCCTCCTTAATCCACTGAATCCACTTAATGTTATCAGTTTGTCTGTGAGGGAATAGTGATGGCTCCTGAAACATGGGAGACTCTCCCGCATCATACCCAGCTCAGAAGTTCAGTGCATCACAGCCTGGAACATGACAACATGCAGGCAGGTGTGATCCTGGAGAAGCAGCCAAGTGGTCTACATCTTTAGACCACAGGAAGTCGACTATTGCACTCTATTATGTTGATTTTAATCCAGGTTTGAGTCAGAAAGGTTCTGTTTTATTTCTACTATTAAGGTTACTCTTAGCCTTTCTGAAAATTTTTCATCAAATAAAAACATTCCTTAAAGCAAAGATCCCACTGAACAGTTCTTGTCTTTCTGTGAGGTCCATGGAAATTATGTCACTCAATCCTTCTTTCTCCACAGATTCCAGTCATCAGCAGAAACCATTAGTCTTACACAATGTGAATGCCTACACTTTCTTAGGAGCCAAAATAAGTCAAATCCACAAGTTCAAAACTCCCAGGTTTGTCTTCCAGAACAACAACAAACCGTACAATTAAAAATTCCTCTCCTGAGCCAGCTGTCCTTATTTATATTCATTTTAGAGTTTGCCTAACACATGTACTCCAATCTTTCCTTTCTGCTTTATTTCTGCCATGTGACTTGATTTCCTTTATTGAAGATTACCTCTAAAAACTGTGTAATTCTTCAGGTTGATAAGGTCACAGTGCATACTCTGATGCTTTCTGGCAACATTGAAGAAACATGGCTATGCATCTGAGTGTTCTGACCTGCTAACCCTGGTCTTCTAGAGGTGACCAGCATCTCCCCAGTGCATGCTGAGGTCCTAAGAATGTGGAGATTTCTGAGGCTGCAACTACACAGAGGACCAAGAGGTAAGTGAACACTCATCCAGCTGCCACTGCCTAGGCCTGCCATACTGGGGTAAAACCACAGGCCTCTCCCCCATCTGCCTCAGATTCTCTAACCATCCAGCAGGCAAGCTTCCTGCAGGCAGGTTGCTCTAAAATTTTCATGCCACCGATTGGACCGTGTAAGCTACAATTTTCACTCAGCCCCCAAACACTCCTATCCCCTGTGACCTCAAAAGAACTTGAAATACAGGCTGAAACTACACAGAGAGGAACAAGAGGTGAGTGTCTGTCCACCATGTGGGGCACTCCACTATGTAGACACTCCATACTGGAGGCAAAACTCCAGGCCACTCCCCCACCTGCCTCAGCTTCTCTAGCCATCCTACAGGCAAGCTTCCTGCAGGTAGGCTGCTCCAACAACCCCAACCTATCAATCAGACCCTGTAAGCTACAAATTCCACTCTGTCCTCAAACCCTCCTATCCCCTGCAACCTCAGAGGAACTCTGAAGCACAGTCTGTGACTACACAGAGAGGATCAACAGAGGCTGTGACTATAGTGAACCAAGAGAGCAGACCAAGAGAGTGGACTAAGAGATCAGGCCAAGGTAGACTTAAGTGGCTCCCTGAGACACAGACAATGACAGCACACAGCAGAACAAGAACGGTTTCCAAAGACACAGACAAAAACTGCAAGGACTGGACTAAGAGGAAAAGATACTGCTGACACCAATTAGAAGAAGAGATGGGCAGGTGCCGATGAAAGAATTTATTCCACAACCTGAAAAGCAACATGATAACACCAGAACCCAGTGGTCATACAACAAGAAGACATGATCATGTGATCATGCTATCCCAGAAAAAAAGAAGAAGAAAATGATTTAAAACTTAACTTCATGAGGATGATGGAGAAATTTAAAGAGGAAATGAAAATTTTCTTTAAAGAAATGGGAAAAAGACAAACAAAATATTGGAAGAAATCAATGTATCTCTGAAAGAAACCCAAGAAAATGAAGGAAAAGCACTCAAACATGTAAAGCAAACAGTTCAAACAGTTCAAGACTTGAAGAATGAAATAGAAGCAATAAAGGAAACACAAACTGAGGGAATTCTGGAAATGGAAAATCTGGATAAACAAATGGGAACAGCAGAGGCAAGCATAATGAGCAGAATACAGGAGCTAGAAGAGAGAATCTCAGGTGTTGAGAATAGTCCAGAAGAAATAGATTCATCGGTCAATGAAAATGTTAAATACACTAAATTCTTAACACACAACATCCAGGAAATCTATGACACCCTGGAAAAGCCAAACCTAAAAATAATTGGGATATAAAAAGGTAAAGAAATCCGGATCAAAAGTCACAGAAAATATATTCAACAAAATTATAGAAGAAAGCTTTTATAGGCTATGAAGGTACAAGAAGCTTACAGAACACTAAATAGACTGGACCAAAAAAAATGTCCCCTCACCATATGATAATCAAAATGCAAAGCATACAAAAAAAGAAAGAATATTATAAACTACAGAGGAAAAAAACCAAGTGACATATAAAGGCAAACCTTTCAGAATTATACCCAACTTCTCAATGGAAGCTATGGAAACTAGAAGGACCTGGACAGATGTGTTGCAGACACTAAGATACTGTAGATGGAAGCCCAAACTACTCTAACCAGCAAAGCTTTCAAGAACCACTGATGGATAAAACAAGATATTCCATAACAAAAACAGATTTAAACAATACCTATTCACAAATACAGCCCTACAGAAATTACTAGAAAAAATGCCAACCCAAGGAAGCTAGCTGCACCCAACAAAACACAAGCAAGAGATAACCTCACACCAGAAAAACCCAAAGAAGGGAAACGTACAAAACTATTACCAGAAAAATAGGAGGAACTAACAATCACTGGTCATTAATATCTCTCAATACAAATGGACTACACTTACCTATAAAAAGACACAGGCTAGCAGAATGGAGATGAAATCAGGATTCACCCTTCTGCTGCATACAATAAATATACCTCAACCTCAAAGACAGATATTACCTCAGAGTAAAGAGTTGGGAAAATATTTTCCAATCAAATGGACCTAAGAAACAAGTGGGTGTAGCTACCCTAGTATCTAACAAAATATACATCAACCTAAAGTCAATTAGAAGAAATAGAGAAGGACACTTTTATACTCATTATAGGAACAATCCATCAAGATGAAGTCTCAATCCTGAACATCTCTGCCCCAAATACAAGAACACCCATATATTTAAAAGAATCATTACTAAAGCTTAAATTACACATCAAACCCCACACACTAATAGTAAAAGACTTCAACACTCCACTCTCCCCAGTGGACATGTCAACCAGACAAAAATTTAACAGAGAAGTAAGAGAACAAACAGATATCATGACTCAAATAGACTAAACAGAAATCTACAGAACATATCCAAAACCAGAAAAGAATATACCTTCTTCTCAGCACCTCATGGAACCTTTTTTAAAATTGACCACAGACTTGGTAACAAAGCAAACTTCAATAAATCTAACCAAGAAAATATGAGACTTGAACAATTAAAACTTTAAAGAAATATGTTGAAGAACATACCAGAAGATTTTTTTAATATTTATTTATTTGTTATGTATACAATATTCTGTCTGTGTGTATGTCTGCAGGCCAGAAAAGGGCACCAGACCTCATTACAGATGGTTGTGAGCCACCATGTGGTTGCCGGGAATTGAACTCAGGACCTTTGGAAGAGCAGGCCATGCTCTTAACCACTGAGCCATCTCTTAATAATCTCTTAAATACAGGGATTAAAAACATTAACATTTGGTATCTCAGAGTCATTTTGATTTGCATTTCCCTGAAGCCTGAGGATGTTGAACAATTCATTAAATGTCTACTGGCCATTTGAGATTCTTCTCCTGAGAATATTATATTTAGATGTGTATACCATTTTTAATTGGATTATTTGGTATTTTCATGTCTAGTTTCTTGAGCTATTATTTATTTTGGATATTATCCCTCTGTCAGATGTGATTTTGGTGAAGATCTTTTTTCCATTCTGTAGGCTGTCACT